ATATATGGGACAATATATAGAGATTTCCTTTCCTGTAGCCTGATATATGGGACAACATTTAGAGATTCCCTTCCCTGTAGCCTGATATATGGGACAATATATAGAGATTTCCTTCCCTGTAGCCTGATATATGGGACAATATTTAGAGATTCCCTTCCCTGTAGCCTGATATATGGGACAATATATAGAGATTTCCTTCCCTGTAGCCTGATATATGGGACAATATATAGAGATTCCCTTCCCTGTAGCCTGATATATGGGACAATATTTAGAGATTTCCTTCCCTGTAGCCTGATATATGGGACAATATATAGAGATTCCCTTCCCTGTAGTCTGATATATCGGACAATATTTAGAGATTTCCTTCCCTGTAGTCTGATATATCGGACAATATATAGAGATTTCCTTCCATGTAGCCTGATATATGGGACAATATTTAGAGATTCCCTTCCCTGTAGCCTGATATATGGGACAATATATAGAGATTTCCTTCCCTGTAGCCTGATATATGGGACAATATATAGAGATTCCCTTCCCTGTAGCCTGATATATGGGACAATATTTAGAGATTTCCTTCCCTGTAGCCTGATATATGGGACAATATATAGAGATTCCCTTCGCTGTAGCCTGATATATGGGACAATATTTAGAGATTTCCTTCCCTGTAGCCTGATATATGGGACAATATATAGAGATTCCCTTCCCTGTAGCCTGATATATGGGACAATATTTAGAGATTTCCTTCCCTGTAGCCTGATATATGGGACAATATATAGAGATTCCCTTCCCTGTAGCCTGATATATGGGACAATATTTAGAGATTTCCTTCCCTGTAGCCTGATATATGGGACAATATATAGAGATTCCCTTCCCTGTAGCCTGATATATGGGACAATATTTAGAGATTTCCTTCCCTGTAGCCTGATATATGGGACAATATATAGAGATTCCCTTCCCTGTAGCCTGATATATGGGACAATATTTAGAGATTTCCTTCCCTGTAGCCTGATATATGGGACAATATATAGAGATTTCCTTCCCTGTAGCCTGATATATGGGACAACAATCCAGTGTTAAATATGCTGCACAATGCTTTGGATATAATGCTAGATATAAGGATCTAGAGGTTGGTGTATACAGCTTGTCGGGTACAGGGCCTGGGGACATTTTAACATCACTGTATACAGCTTGTCAGGTACAGGGCCTGGGTACATTTAACATCAATGTTTGATCTGAATCCTGATTATTGATCAAACTGGTATGTCACACAGTGGATACTGAAATTAATTCACAATCAACCAAATTGCATACTCAACCTCAAACTTGTCAAAGGAACTGTTTCCTTTACAGAATTTTGTTAATATGGGTGATGTTTTTAACAATTAAAAACTGCATCAAATTATGGAAGGAAAACAGTTTCATATTTAAATTTTTATTTGATCAAGGGTAGGATATTTTTTATTAAATTACATGTTCAAATATTATTGTTACTTCTATCATATTAAATCAGTTGATGTTTCAAAAGGTTCGATTTTCAAATATTCTTCCTAACAAGGTGAACTTTCGCTTCCGATTAACTGAAATAAAAATGCAGTATCATGGGGTATTTTTTTCAGAGTATTTAATTTATGATCCTTGCATGGTCCAAGCATCATTCTGTTTTCAATTTAGGAAAAAAAACGAAAAAAAACATAGTTTTAAAAATAATAACTAACAAATACAAAAAAAAGAGTATTCAAATGACAACACCCTTTTTGGACAGTTAAAATGCATGGAATAAAGAGGTATTTAATTGTTGGTTTTAAATTATAGAAAATACCAGCAGTAATGTTTAGTGCTGCCAACAAAACCCAGTGATTTCACTAAAAACCACTTGAAGTGACTACAACTTACTTGTTGCCCATTCTGATTGCTTGAATAAGTGATGTGTAATGTGAATGTGAAATTGATCGGAATAAATCGGCAACTAGAAAATTCTGTAGACTATATACACACAAGTCATATCATTGAACTCCGAACTGCAATTCTGTTTCGATGAATCGTTGGCCACTAGTCTACAGACATTTAGCATTGAATTATTGATATTGTGTAGAGAGATATTACCCTCACTATGAAGCCAACATCCAACTAGTTTATGGACTGATTCTAATAATAATGAGCAAGACTCAATTTGATAACAAAAGATTCACAAAAATCCAAAACTTGGAAAGATAGTCCATGTTAAAAATGTCAAGCATTTTCATTTAAAAAATGTCATTTTTTCTTGTTTAAAAAGAACACTACTAAAAACATCAACAAATTATATTCCCTATTTCCTCTGAAGGGAAGAACTTAGGCCAAAAAAATGTGTTTCGGCAATCATCTGAAAAAATTTGGTAGGCAATTTTTTTTAATTTTAAAAAATATCTACTGTCTTATTATAGAGCAGGAGTTCTGACTTTAACAGTGCATATCCCTGAATGCCAATAAAAACTTCAGGGTAGGCACACAAATCTAGGGTAGATAGCTATAGGGGTAGCGGAAACATACAACTTTTTCCAATTGGCCTAATGCTCTGTCACAGACAAGATCCGAAGTCAAGTATTTAAACCTATGGTATATATAATGATCATTGCTTTCATCACAGTGTGTGAGAAAATGCCCGTTTAAATTGCATGACAATAATCATATTCTGCAATTGAGTACTAAACACAGTTAAAGCTTATTCAACTACAGATTTGTACACATCTTGTTATGTTGCATGCAAACTTCCTGGTAATTTCACTATCAGGAACAACACTGATGATTGGAAACATTTTGATTACAGTAATTTTTGACAATTAAATGAAAATGACAAAACGTAGTGATATACTTGAGAAAAGTAATTGGCCCATAAACATCATTTGGTAACTAACATGCAATTGAGCTGTTGTTTAATTGTTTAACCATTCATTCAAAACATAATCTTGCCTCAATCAAAATTGATCAATCTGAAAGCTTGTCATCAGAACATGTCAAATTATGATTGCAAACATGAGACATACATGATTGGCATAAAAAGTACCTAAATAGCAATGATTGGCAACCAAGATCTGTAAACAAGGAGACGGAGGATTAACATTTGTTGCCCCTGGCCCACTTAATCGGCTCTCACAGGTCCTGATTCTGGGATTGAGTGATCGTGAGGTTTGCAGGACATTTGGTTATCCCAATGCAAAAGGAACATTTTGAAGGGAGGAAAGGCCGTTACTGCGGGAGGTGTAGCGACTCATATAACTAAAGGCTTGGGTGAAAAGACAATGTGACCTTGATCTTTTATAGGTGCAAATACTTGACATGAAGCCTCATTTTCATTCACCAACAAGCTACTTGCTACAGAACTAATGGCCTATTTTATGTATGCTGCAGCCAGTGGTCCTATTCTGCCAGTTTATTAATATAAACTTCATTGATTTTACAGCAATTACTTTATCATCATATTTTAATCACTCTTGTTTGCCCGGATGTTAGCGCGGGGGTCTTTATGTGGGAGGACATCGGAGTACCAAGAGAAAACCCACACGTTCGGGTAGGTGACCCCAATACCTTGTCACACCCGATCAGGGAATCAAACCACAGCCGCCTTGTTAGAAGGAGAGTGGGTTATACAACGCACCACCTGATCACCCTGTTCACTCACTCAATATAGTCACATACGACCCACTTACAAATTTTAAATTTTTAGTTGTACAAATCATCCTCTATAACAAACCATGATAAAGGGATCTATTTTCCCAGGTTACCGTTATGATTGGATTATAATGCAACTTTTCTGATCAACAACAATCGATGAACAGAATGCCATCAAATTTATGTTTTGTCAGTAAAGTAAATGAGAGTGTGGAAACAAATGCTAAATTTTATTTCATATCATGACGTGAAAAAATATTCTACAGTAACTCTAATACAGGTTGTGTAGAGGACAGTACAAACCAATGGAATTATCACCGTCTGAACACATGTACTTAAACGACCTGAAGTTCCCGACTCTGTTCCAGACTCCAACCAGGCTTCAGTATATCTCAGTGTTGATAAAGATCATAATTCATCAACCGATACCAGACGGTCCGCTCACAATTATGTATGACACTTGGAAAATGCACTCTGATGACCATAGTGCCACTTTCTCTGCTGGTACAGACCTTGGACCAAATTGTATATCCGTGGCGGGACAGATTTTTTGTTTTATCAATAATTAATTCCTGTAGTCTAAGTGGAAGATGTGGTAATTCAACTCTCTAGCTATAAACATAGATGATAATGTCTTGTTGCAATTATATTAATTTCCATTGCATGTTGTCGACAAAAATGTCCAAAATCCAAAAAAAAGGTTCAAACAGGTATGTAAGCGTTCTACATATTCTGTTTAATATGTTTGAAGATTATTGTTTCTTGTTTTCTTTTGAGAATTTTACTCATGGTAAATTTAGTTTAAATGGCTATTAATATTCATTTATTCATATTATATTTAAATTCTTTTTGAAGTATTGAAAATGGAATAAAAACCTGTACAAAATATTGATTTGGTACATGACTTCCTACCTATTATATATTGAAAACATATCTGAAGAGTCATTCATTGTGAAATCGCATTGTAATGCGTCACACACTGTGACTGAATTTAAAATTCAGTCTTATTATGTAGATCATCTATATATTAATACGAGAAGATTATTTCTTTAAGTATTTACTTTGGTAATCCTTCTATATAGCCATCACTTAATACGCCAAAGCAGGATCAATGGTCTAGTGCGACATGTATTCATGAATGATTTACACTTCATTGCAGTAGAGGTATAGACTCAACGTCTACACATGGTCATTTGCTGTATTTTGTTATACAGTATAGGATACAGACATTACATTAGAATAAATTTCATTTAATAAAGTAACACAAAATATATTGCTTGGCGTTAGGACAATTTAAAGCAGAATCCACTCTTATTGTCCCGGTTTACGACAATGCCAGTCAGTGTACTTACCTTAGCAGGTAAACAGCTCTCTCGATATCACTGAGTTGTTCATCTACTGTTAGTTTTTCGAGTTCTTCTGTCGACTGTAAACAAAATAAAACGCATGTTACATTTTCTTACTAGTGTTATATGAGACTTGAAATATTCGTTCATAAATGACATCATTTCTAATTACTAAGTAAGAGCGTAAATTGAGAGTAGAGCTACCACCTTTAGACCCTCAGTCGGTCGATCGAGTTGCAAATCCTGCAGGTCATCTGCAAGCGACGTTGTTGTTTTATCCATTACGTGGTTTTGGTTAGTATAATGTCTTGTCGTTTAAACACCAACATTTCTCAATTATGTACAAATCATAACTCCCATTTCGTCCCCCTTTACGGAGGAGAAAATGCTCGAAATGCCGGTTGTTACTGTCCACTGAAAACGGCTTCACTTGACAACCCGATCAGCCATTGATCATGCTCAGGTACTTGTAAAATCTCGTTTGTTCTCGCGAGATATGGCAACGAAGGCGTTGGCGGCAAATTACGGAATGAGAAGCTTTTCCCCTCATAACAAAACACGGATTCATGGGTATTTTCGGAAGTTTAATTTACAGGGACTTTAAGAGACCACACAAGCATACTAATTTCCTTTAAACAAAAAGTTTATTTTCACATTTTCCGAGTATATCTGAGCAGAGACAGTATACCTTAATATGCCTAGTTAGGTTTCTGTTTGAACCCACCCCTACTATTCTAAGCCAATTTCAGATCCCAAATCGCATCCCTGTTCAGCTCTCGATCCGCCACTGTAAAGATTGAAAAGTATGCACTAATGAAAAGGGATGGTACATACAGAATATATACTAGTGTGTGTTTTTCATGAAGTTTAACAGATCGATATGGATTTATCAAGGTAGCCAGGCTTCTTACCGGGCCCTTAAATATCAGGCCTGCACTAGGCTGGGAGGCTGCGCCAGACTTCCGGAATTCGCCAAAGTTACTATTATACTACTTGTTAGGGACTCTGTCATTCAATGTTGAACCTAAAAGGACCTCATCTGCAGTTAGAAGTATATATAAGTAAGACGAGTATAAATCTACCCTAACAAAAACCGAGTCTTCCAGGCTGCTTTCACCGTGACCTTTGGCCCTTTAACCTTTACCGGTGACCACCAAAATTAATCGTTTAAAACTCGATGTTTCTATACTACGCCGGTGTAAATAAGAATTAAATGCGTTCCGTGGGGTTCATAAGCTATACGGACGGAATATCACACTGATACGCTGACAAAACGATTACTATATACCCCTCCCCTCTCACTTACAAAAATAGAGAAAGAAACGTCGGTATCGCGTCTATTCTGTTTTCCGTCATAAATTTGTCTTTACTTTGAATTAAAAGGAACCATTATAAAAATAGTTCCACGATCGGCAGAGTTATTTCTCGGTTTATTCAAATTAAACGATTAAACTGAAAACACAGTCAAGACATACACTAAACGTCTGAAATGGGCCGTCAAATGTGATAAAAAGACGTCCTTTTATGTTACACAAGATTTCACAAACATCGCGTGTTATATTACGTCAGCAGCAGTTTAAAAGCGATTTAACGGCTTAGCATTCATGCGTTCGCTTTTAACGTCACCGACTGAAAGAAGTACGCGTTTATGTAGTACATGTAATTTAACGTTTCCGCATTTAAAGCATCAATGTAGTGGTTTGGTAACAGGTTGTCTCGTTTTCAGTATCCAAAATGTCGTATAACTTAGACATTGTGTTGCACTGTCAGTGGCGGTAGTCTGCTAATATTGGCTTCTCTTTGTCAAAGTAGACAATTAAAAAATAAAATCTAAGTGTCGATGGTATCCGCATTTCTAAAACGCATCTAATTAAGATATGTACGAATGAATTTGTTATGTAATACTATGTCAACAATTATCTATCTGTAAATACTGCAACGCCCTCTTTCATTTCGTTTTCAAGACCCATTTTCTGCATGGCAGGAAAATAATTGATAAAATGAAAGTCTCGTCTACATCATGAAGTTTTTACAAATGTAGAAGACAAAACCGAAGTAGAGTTTTGTTTTATTAAATTTGAACGTTGAACGTGAATTTGTTCTGTTAGCATCTCGAGATCTCTTCAATGATGAGCTGGATCAACGAAAAGACATCGGTCTAATGACAGTTGTATACCGCTTGGGACCGTTTTACATTTTTCTGTTGCGGTTCAAGAACTGAGTTTGAGGAGGGGCTAAAATACCCACTTCAGACAGTGGGGAGGCAGTCTGAATTAGATTTTTTATGGTTCAATGCAAATTGACATGTTTAGGGGTTTGCAGAAGTCCCCGAAGTGCCCAGCTCTCTAAATCTACCACTGGTTGGTGTGTGTGTGTCTGTCTGCAAATTGTCTACTGTTATTGAGTAAGAGTAAATGGAATATAATTGCTCAAGTGTTTCTTATATTATTCAGACAAAAGAAACCAGTATCGTCATTTCTAGTCTGAATACATTTTGTGAGGAAATCTATATGTAAATACATATTATTTTAGATTTTCGGATCATCCCTCCGTCGATTTTATGAATTCCACATGTGTTCAGAGTTAGAGAGCATCCATTCTACAAGAAATAATTTTAAAAAAAAACAGCAAAAAAAAATTATGAAGATTTTCATCTCTTTCATGATCCGAATCAGAACAGGTTACAGTCGAAGGGAAATCACTCTGTCTAATTTTGACTATAACACGCTATATTTGCGCGGATGGATCACAAACTGGTCACGGACCACGAAAACATCGCCTCATGGAACTTAACAATAATCAAACAAGAATGCTGTGATTTTTTATCAAGACCTTGACCAACATACAAACAGCGATATCCTTATGACACATTCACACACTCGCTTCTACGCTTGCCAGGTGTATTGTCTATAGTCTCTGTTTCATTTGCTAGAAATTTTTAGATAAACAAGCGAAAAATACTTAATCTCGCCTGTGTTGTAATTCCGGTTCAGCAGGGGTCGCGGTGGCCAAGTGGTTAAGGCGTCTGATATTCTGCTACCACTAGCCCTCCACCACTGGGTCGCGGGTTCGAGGCCTACGTTTCTCCGGGAACTCCGGCTTTCCACCAAAATCTTGCACGTCCTTAAATGACCATAGCTGTTCATAGGACGTAAAACACAAACAAACCAAACCAAACCGGGTCAGCAATGAGTCACAGAAGAATACCTTTAGAAAAATAATTTAATAATTAATTTGCAATAGTTAACGTACGTGTCTAGTGCCCAATCCATTTGTAATTATTCACAGCAAAATATGTTAAAGCTAAATGCATATATATTCAAACTACATCACGTATTTTGGGGGCATCTATTTTTTGTTAATCTTTCTTTTTGTTATTAAGCGTTCCACTTTTCCCAGAATGAAGAAGGAACTTCAGTTTAACTAGTTTTTTTTTTTAAACTGGTTTGTTATTAAAATATACCTTGCAGTATACCATTCTTTTCCATACTCTTTCCAAATACGTAAACTGTTCGTTCGCAATGTTTGATTTTCATTATTTACCAAATTTCTGGTAAAAGGTAACATAAAAGGAGTCAGTCAATGTATATTAATGTTTCATAATAGCCCGGTCCAAACCCACAAGTCAGTCACAGACATTTCCCATAAAAACCGCCAACATTAAAGAAAATCGACCGGTATGAATACTTAAGTATATCATTATATTCTAAATTTATAGTTATTTGTGATCTTTATCTAAGTCCCTGTATTGTGTGTATCGTCAATGCAAACTATATTTCTGGAACAGCCAATCGTCATTTGAATGTTTGCTTCTTACGATGCGGGCGGAGTATTTCGGACCAGAGCGGGAACTCCCAACTGCTTTGAAAGCGGTTAGCCCCATGAATAAAAGCGATATTTTCTGTGAAATATGAGCACGCGATTCGTTTTATTTTAATAGGTTTCCGCTGCCGACAGCTATCATTGGCATAGGGTTTAACGTCTTATCAACAGCTATGTAATGTAATGACGTAACGGCTGCTGTCTTTGGCTTTTATAACTCAAGTTATACAACTATATGAGTAACAACACCGTATCCATTCGAAATCTTCCAGATTAACATTTATTTGTGGAATGTCACATTTTAAACAAACGGTCATGATGATTTAGTTCATTATCTGTCTGCATTTTGTTCAACGTGTCATTCGTTAAGAGGACCACAGTGGTTGTTTTGTAATTCATACAAAAGAAAATAAGTAGTTCAAACATTAAATTGTGTTTTATTGCAAATTAAAATAATTATGTTACAAGTAAGCGCCTTTCTGTATTCGGTTTCCTAGGTATCGGACGTCTGCTTCACGTTTTCCTGCACTCTGGCAGAACTTATGGTCCACTTTGCTCTCCTTTCTACTGCCTTCCTGTCGCGGTTGAGTCTTGCCCGCTCCTGTTTTTTGTCGATGTCCACTCTGTTTATTGGAGGAAGCCGTCGTGGAGGCTAGGCATGCCTCACGGGAGTAGGTTTCGTATTGGGGATATTTCCTCCTGTATTCTGGAGTACATGGAATTCCCACTAACTAATGCAGCATCGCAAGTTCCGTTTCGTGGTTTTCAAACACAACGTAAAGGCCATCGTCAAAAAATAAAGATTTATGTGTATTTTCGTGGAAATGCATTACATACATTTACTGTCTTTGTTCTGGGAGGCATAAAGATTCGTTCAAACTTCACATTACCTTAGTATTCCTCTCGGGAAAACAAACACAAAAACAAAACAATTACCACGGAGTTCAAACTATTTTATCGGTTTTAACATTTTTGAGTGTCCTCACGGCGTACTAAAATAATCTTTAACCATTTTAGTTGGACATTGTAGAACACAGCAGCGGCCTTCAAACCCAGGGGACCATTCCCTTCCCCAATCACAGCCTTCCGAGTAACAAATGATATTAAACAGGGATACGTGCTAGCTCCCTCAATCTTTTAGAATACACTGTGCATCCCCGATATCCAAGTTTACGCTCACTTTCGCTCTGTGCAGATAGCGAAAGTGAGCGTAACCCTTGGATATCGAGGATGTAAGATATGGCACTGGTATACTCGAAAATGTTTTACAGAGTACATCAGTAATGTAATGTACTATGACGTCATCAAACCATACTATTTATGACGTCATAATGCACTTGGTATCTATGTACAGATTGCTGCATGGCTATCACGTACGTCTAGCAACACTCTGTATACTCAAGTTAGTGAGAAAATGGGATGCAATAACTCGAAGACAGAAGAAAACACACATGAAAGGTCGTTCACATTCTGTTGGAGAAAACGGAACAAGGTAATTCTAAAAAACTGTTCTGAGCCAGTTAACAATTTAACTATCTTGCTCCAAGCTGAAATTCCCAGTAAGATTACATCATCATAGTTAAATAGTGACAATCAGATTTACTTTAATTACTAGACATTTGTTTTATAAATTAT